TCCCTCTCCTTACAACATCCTGTGATGCCGGATAGGAAGTGGCGCCTCCATTTTTACAGCCGAGGAAGTGGAGGAATCAGAGGTTACACGGCCAGGATGCCCACAGCCAAAGCATGAAAGGCCAAGCTGCCGTGTGCTGCCGGAGAAATGTCAGTTCATCTGGAAGCTTCTTCCCTTCCTCTCCAGAGAGAAGTTGCCCAACCCCGGGGCCCGATTAGCACATAAATTACAAAACCTGTGTTCCTAAGGATCTCTTGCTAGCTAGCACTGCCGACCTGGCCCTGACCCTTGCTCACACTCCTCTGCTGGGGGTGAGGGTCGGGGGTGGGGTGGGGTGGGGCATTTCTGGATTTCTGAATGCAGCTCCCCTCCTCGAAATTTGTGAGAGGGAGTCAGGGTGAGGGAAGGGCAAGAGAAAGCGTGGAGGTCTGCAGAACAAGAGGCAGAGGATTAACAAGAATGGGAGATAGAGTGGAGCAGAGTACAGAAAGGTCCCATGGTGGCTGGCTGGAGGACAAAAATCCTTGAAAAGCCCTTAGAAAACCAGTCCACAGACCGTAAACCGCTTCACAAGGATTACTTTGGTGGTAAATTTATATGCAGTTCCTCCCAGGCAGTTTCTCAAATATCCTTCAAGACTTTCAAACATTCGTATCCAATCCCTGCGTCCTCGGCGCTCACTTGGCAACTGGCTCTTCAGTGGGTCCCGTTTGGGGAGATGAATCTTTTAAAATGTCCTTCCAAGTCCAAAGAGAATCGAAGGGCACAGAACAAAGTTCAAACCATTCACAAATATTTATTCAGCCCTGGATGTGCGTTGGTGTGATGAAACAAGGTGAAAATAAAGGGCGCCCGAAGACTGGGACTGGAACCCTCCAAGGCCAAAGGCAAGGCCGAGCTCCCAGGTATCAATCACCGTGTCGGTCTCCGACTGCCCCACATCATAGGGCCCTCTGAAGACAAGCGGATTCCTGGTACGTCCTGCTTTGTTTCAACCATGCAAACAACATTTTATAGCCTGTATGTTAATGTTGACAAAGGAAAGGATGAATAGCCTACGCATCCGCAGTTTGACCCAGCAACTTACCTGGACAAGGTAGGGGAGGTCTGTGACAGAGAAGCTTTGAATCACCGTGTTTTCAGAAGATGAACTCTCAAAGGCGCGGGGAAAATGACGCACGACACCTTCTTTGATAATGACACCCTGAAAGACACCAAGAAAATTAACAACAGAGCCGGGCGGTGGTGGCGCACGCCTGTAATCCCAGCACTTGGGAGGCAGAGCCAGGAGGATCTCTGTGAGTCGAGGCCAGCTTGGTCTACAGAGCGAGATCCAGGAAAGGCGCAAAGCTACACAGAGAAACCCTGTCTCGGAAAAAAAAAAAATAAACAAAAACAACAAACTCTACTGTTCCTTTTCTGTTAGAATTGTCCCTTTCTGGCTTTTGGAGAAAAATCTAGTATTTTATTATAGTTTTTAAAAATTAAGAAATATTCAGCTTTTTTTTTTCGGGGGGCGGGGAGGGGGTTCTGAGACAGGGTTTCTCTGTGTAGTTTCAGCTGTTCTGGAACTTG